AAATGAAGTTATGTCATCTTATACAGTGTATTTAACACTATCCCTCCAAAAATTATAAAACATTTTTGCAGTTGTTTGCGTTGTTTGCGTTGTTTTTAATGTAGCCCATACACAATATTTCATTGAAACTGCTATTTCTAAAAAATGAACATGGCGTTTAGTGTGGAGAGTAACAAATTGTGAAAAACAAATTTCACTTGAAGAAAATATCTCTATCTTTAGTTTTGGGTTTTAGACAGTACCCCCACAATTAAAGAATGTTCTTCAAAATTGCAGAGCTTCGAGACAGGCTAGATCGACTGAGGTATATTCTTCGTGGAAAAAATCCTACAAATAGTTTAGGCGTTAGTGTTGTTCACAGACGGACAGACTGAAGGGCAGACGGAGGGACTGACTGACGGACAGATTGGCGGATAGATTGACGGACAGTCTGACGGACAGACTGATGGACAGAAGAATGGATAGACGGATAATTTTTTTTTTTGGAATCAGGGTGTTTTGGTATCAAAAACGTGTATTTCCTTTGAAATCTCGAAAGAGATTTTCCGCAGCATTACGTACTTAACTTTCTCTATTTATTCTACAAATATAGAAACATTCCTGGTGTTATTTTTAATCCGTACACTCGTATGTGTATTTATAGAGAGTAACTAATAGAGCTACAGAATGGCACAGACTTTCGTTTGCTTGTTAATTTCCTTATCTCTTATTCCTCTGGGGTATCATTCAATTTAGTCACACCCTCTTCATAAATGCCATGTATTGGCGCCTAAAACATTTTTTTCTTATATTTTTCTGATACGTAATAGTGGAATTAAAATATAACTAAGAATATTATATAAGTGTAAAATCTGGTCCAAAATGTACATTTTCCTTGAAAAATTTAAAGACTTTTAAAGAAAATGTTGATTAAGCGTTTCTGAAAATGAGCATTTTAATGCTAATTTTCACCTCAAATATTCGATTTTTTGAGAAACTTCATAAGAAATTATTTGCCGTTTTTGAAAAGAAAATGTTTATAAATTCATTACATTTTGCGAAAGATTTTTTCAAACACTTATTTTTTAAGTATAAATAGATTATTTAAAGATCTATTTTTAAACAGATTTCATTTAAGAAAAAATCTCTGCCTTTTGCCTAGTTAATTTTTTGAAATTTTCGAAAATATAGAGAGTTCGTCGAAAAATGGTTCTAGCACGATATTTTTGCATGAATTGCTACATCCAAGAGAAAAATTAAAATAAACAAATTGAAGCCGTTTTTGAGATAAAACAATGTTTATAAATTGCATTAGCGTCAAGGAAGAATTAAGCGAAAACGAAAAAAAAAAAAAACTTTTTCAGAAAAAAAATTGTAATTGAACGTATTTTAAAAATAATTTTTTAACAAACTACATTGAGAAATAAATCTTCTATCAATATTGTAATTTTTCAATGTTAATATTGCGCAATTTTCGAACATACGGAGAGTTTGCCAAAAATGGAACCAGCGTCATTTTTTAAATGTCTGATGCTCCATTCTTGAAAAAAAAATTGTATAAAAAGATTTGGAGCCGTGTTTGAGGAAATAATTGTTTTAAAAAACTTATATCACGCATAATTACACGAAAACTGCTCAAACTTTCGAAAAAGTATGCGTAATCTTTAAAAATCTAAATTTGACAATTTTACTTCATTAAGGAATAAACCTATACAAATATATTCAATACTATACTAGTTGTAGGAAGGCTTAAAAACATCTCTTCTCATTTTTGTTCAATTCTCTGAAATCTCCTAATTTGCAAAAGTAATGTGTCATTTTTATGTTTTTGTTTAATTCGAAAATAAAAATGAAAATAACAAAAATTGAAACCATTTTCGAGAAAATTTTGAAAATGTTACGGAATTGTATCATAACCTTGATATCGGCCAGATCGAGGAAGGAATATGAATTTTGGAGAAAATCTTCTAAACGGCGTTGACAACAGAGGGTCAGACATACATTTTCCCGCCAATCAATTTTTCGGTATCAAGGACCCCGAAATCATGGATTCAGAGTACCCGACGTGCAAGAGGAAATAATTTGCTTCATACAGAAACAATATTTATACTCTTTTTCGATACCTCAGTCCTTGAACACGCTTTTTGGTCAATATTCGCTGACTTCTGCCGCAGCGTTACAATACTCTTTTATTGAGTTAATACTATGGAATAAGTAAGTTAAAATTAAAATGAAAAATAAAGTAAAGTACTACAAACCCTTACTTACTCGACGGACTCGATGTGCCAGGAGCCGCGCGGGTGCGTGGAGATGGTCATGTTGGAGA